ATGCACCTTGATGTTCGAATATTTATCCTTTAGGGTGGATTCGACCAAACAAGAGTAAATATTCATCTCAGAATAAATCGTCAGTTATTCAACATTTTGACATATTTCCCATACTGAAACTGTCAATGTGCCAGTTATACCAGGGATTATTCTCGGATAAAAGTTTGGTCGCATCGGGCCTTAGTCAACTCGTAGGAATGGGTGGTCCTATTATACTCTGTCGAAAAAAAACTGCAAAAATTTATTTATTTATTTTAGATACAGTTAATAGATTTATCTAGGCACAGTTACAGTACAAAAACATACACATACTACACAATAATATGTGATCGCGGATTCTTTTAAAAACACAAAGCATTTTTATCTATAATCCATAATAACGATCAACAAACGACATCTTATCTAACTCCAAACTCCAAAAAGCATTTATCTAATTCCAATAATAAGCCATCTTGAGAGACCTCTTCAATAAGCCGAGCCAAGCAAACATATAGGATTTCTTATATGATAACCCTTCAGCAAACTATTTTCATTAGACCAATATACCGAATCGCAGAGCCCTCCGTAAGCACTCAGACCTAATATAATGGACTTGGGTAGGGTGACCCTGATTTGGGACGTCGTAGGACTCGTAGGACAACAATCAGTAGCAAATTCCTTGAAAAAACGCTGTTCACGCATGATATGTTCTTTCACGCTGAAGGAATTAAATTATAACGAAATTACCATAACTTGGACATTTTGAGTCAAGTCGTAATTTACAAAAATGTCTATATCAGGGGTGGCCAACCAGTCGATAGCGATCGACCGGTCGATCGCGACTATTAATTTAGTCGCTCGTGGCAAGGCAAAAAATACTACATGATTGTGTACTAAACTATGCTGTTTCATTTAAGATTTCAAGAAGTATGTAAGTGGTAGATCGCCCAGGGTTTTGTTAGGAAACAGTAGATCTTATGTCTAATCAAGTTGGCCACCCCTGGTCTATATCGTGCGATAATCGAACCCGCGATCCACAGTGTAGAAGCTGTGAGATCTTAGGCACTGTGACACGTTGTTTCTCACGAATCAAAGTAATAAATATGTTAATATTATCGACATCCTACAATATCTGTCCTAGTGTTATGAAACTTTTATTAGAGAGAGTTCGCTCGAAATATCCCGCAATCCCGTTTAAAACACAACACATTGCCATCCTACTGGTAACGAAGTATCCCGAAAGCAATGGAGCCCATAACTTCGGATTCAATATAGTGTATTTGATTCATTTCTTATAATCTCCGCTATTTCTTATTACGAATCCCGAGTCCCGGAAATCCCGCGTTAAATCCCGGATGCGAGAATGCCGGGATGGTAATCCCGCGCTCATCCTGCGACCGCGTCAACTTTCAATCTTTTGTAAGCCCTTTTAATTCTATGAATCGTTAGCAAGTTTTTTTGTTGATGGTACCATGGATGGTTAACAGGAAACTTACAACAAAGTATAAATACGAATGAAAATTGAAACCAATAGCTACGATTATCTAGTAAGTGAGAATAGAAACATTTTGGTCTTGTAAAATTGCCCTTAAAGGGCTAAAGAATTCGGAATGATTCTGTAAAGAAAAAAAAACTTAGAATTTATATAAGAATAACTAGAAATCAAAATCAAAAAATCAAAATCAAAAATATTTATTTAGTTTATTAGACCACAAGTGGCACTTATGAAAAAAAGGAAAGGTAGCCCTTATGGGGCACTATACATGTCTCCTTATCAAATATATGAAAACGTGGTTTCCCTAAACAAGTTAAATAAAAAAGTACAGTACAGTTCGTATCNGCAAAAGAGTTTTAGTAAATCCGTTTCATTAATGGTCAACAACAAGGATTGACCTATCTTTTGCAGTTATTAAATAATCTCTGGGTGTTGCTTAAGATAGTAATTCATGCTTCCAAAATCTTAGAAATTCGCACGAAAATGTAAAATGGCTCTTAAAGCTTATGCCAAATGGATTAAAATTAATTAGAGATCGAAATTACTTAGATATAGCCATATTAAAACATAGAAGAATAAGTTGAAACATAAAATAATGGAAGTTGCTCGGATTAACACGGAAAATTCTGCAAATACAGCTCTGGTTTTCAACAAATTAAATTACTGTTTTTATAAAATAATTCACGTTCTCGTTCTTATATTATTTATTAACCGATTATGCACTTTATCTCAATATCTTTTACTTGAAAATAACAGTTCAAAGTCTAAAATAAATATTACCGCTTAATATTCCTCTTTAGTGATGACGCAAACAAAAAAATCATAAGAAAAATTATCGGAAAATGAGAAATGGGCCAATATTTCACGAGCTCAAAAGGGCAAGTGGCAAATTAGGGGAACCGTCAAAATTTTCGAGCATTAATGTCTATTGGACCCTCGTCACGTCATCACGAGTGTAATGAGACGGCGTTGTGCACTAAGCCTTACTTTCAGATTTGCCTTTGATTTTGCCGCTTTGGAGCAGACATTTTTACTGTTGTAAAATTGATTCGGAGAATAAGGGTTAGGCTACTTGGCGCTCAATTGAAGTGTTTCTGGAATTAAACTAGTATTTAGGAACTTCGAGGAACCATTTAACAAAATGGTTGGGACTTGGAGACTGCGCCAAAAAAAGGTTTTGGTTTGGTAATAATATCAAGGTTTATAATATCTACCCTACAGTCTTAAATGTTTACTGTTCGCATTTATAAGACAGGCACTGGAACATTACTCGGAAACGGTAAAATTTTAATGATTCATATTTTCAAATTCAAATTATTGGTATAAAGGTTCTTAGATAATAGACATAGACCCACAACTATACTTTTACTACTGTTAAGAAGTTTTGTATTTCTAACTTTATTCAAGTTTCTGGCTTTTCAGATGAGGATAAGCGTAAAAAAAACTTTCTACGTATTATTTGTCAAATCAAACATTATAGACAGTTCTATTTCAAATCAATAATTCACAAGAAGAATATCTCTTCCCCCAAAATAGAATCAAATCCCTAACGCCCACGACAGTAAATAAAAAATAAGGCTGTGTGCATACTTATAAATTACTTAAGTAAATAAAAAAGTATTCAAGTATGTTATCCGTTGTCTGGTACCCATAGTACAAGTATTATATTATCTGTGGTACAAGCTTTGCTTAGTTTAGGACTAGAAGCGTAGTGTAAAATTTATTAGGTAACTAGCTTCCCGCCCGCGGCTTCGCCCGCGTTGAAATTTGTCTGTCACAGAAAAACAATATCGCGCACGTATTTGCTCACCGTTTAGACCTACCCTGGACTACGACATACATTTTAAAACCAAAATCAGCTCAATCGGCCCAGTCGTTCTCGAGTTTTAATCAGACTAACGAACATGAATTCATTTTTATTTATATAGATTATTATATTTTATTTACTATTTTGAACTATGATACAACTAGTTTAAAAGCCTTATGCCTCTTTTAAATGAAAGATGGTCGTATTGGTCGTGCTCTTGAAGTGGACTGATGATGAAAATTACAAGTAATTTTTGCGCTACAAATATCGAAACGTTAAGAACCAAAGATTACTCTCATTGGGCAAAGACCTACTCTAGATCCCTAGGGTAAATAATAAGCCATGATTTGTAATTTGTTGCTAAAAATAAAAACATTGTCTAAAATTATTGCTTCCAAAACATACAAACAAATTCATTGAATTGAGCTACACATGATTAATACACAAAAAACAAACCTCTATAATATTATAACTACAAAATAGTGTCGTACCGAGTCTATACTACGAGTAGGTACCTACGTGTGAAACGAGACCGCAAGGGAAATCATATTTTTAAATTGAAATTTATACATGCTTTCTTTGTAACAAGTTAACACATGAAGCATACATGCTGCAAAGAGATTCATAAATATTCAACAGCGTCCAGTCTCTAAATAAATAGTTAGTCTGGTACTGAGATTTTCTTGTTCAAGCTAAAGAACAGTCGACAGCATCTCAGTCTATACAATTGTGATGCAAAGTAGCACATTTTCTGAAATAACTATTTTTTTCAGAAAAATCTATTGTGCTGAATTTTTAGTGTTTTCATAAGGTACTGGTCAAAGTTATCATTACCATTTACAGGACAACCTATTTTAAGTTCGTACTTCAGTTTCACCATCACAACTAATATTTGACCCTAGCAGGAGCCAAATCCGCGACTATTCCTGCTTATTCACCACCACTATCTTTAATTAGTTACAAAAATTCAACATATTGATTTTTAAAATATAAAATTTCGACTGTCATCTCTCAACAGTGTGCAACCCGCCTAACAAATAGATTCGGTCACTCCCTAATGCCTTTGCGGGAAAAAATCATCTAATTCGTGCGATACGCGGCCCCTCTTTTTGTGGGGGGTTTGGGAGGTCAGTTGTCATCTGTGGACCTCTAGCGGTGTTCGTTTTTGTGGACTCCTAATTTGGGGAGATTAATACATATCATTGTGACAGATATTTCTTGTTGGGAGACAGATGCCTGTAAGTGTAGAGGTGTAGCAAGAAATCCCATGCAGTTTCATGGTGATTTGGTTTAATCAAAGACGTCCAATTAATATACAAGCTGTTCTGAATAAAAAATATGTCACAGAAGTAAACTAATTTCTAATAATAACATTGCGGGTCCAATGACAATTTAACTTTCCCCCGAGACAAACTTGAACTTCACTGGTTGGGTTTTTATTGGCGGTCAAGCTGTAGATGTTACCTGTCCTGGCTACACAGGAGTTGCACCGATGGGAAAGAGAGGTTTTTTTTATGTGATAAGAGGTGGGAATAGTCCTGTGATAATTTTCATGGATTTGATGGACGTCCGACAACCTTTTTAACCGATATCAAAAAAAGATTAACAAAGCTTAGGTACCAGTATTCACCAAGACTCAGCTCACCCAGCATATTAAACTTCAAAACATCACAACTCACTTATTGAGAGAAGAGAAATAAATAAATCTTTTTCTTCCAGTTGCCTGCTCGACTGTGACCGTGACGAAATGCCAAGCTGCCCTGAAGACCCTGCAAGCGTTCCCGTTCTTCAAGCCGACCTGCCTCTGCCGGGAACCGAACGTGGATCCTGAGTGTAACTCCTTCCGCGACTTTCTGTTCGACCATCCCTGCGTTTTCGTCATGAAGAAGGGTGCGTAACATACATGCATGATATCTTAAAAACTGACCCTACCTTGATATAATTATTAATTATTATAAACTAGCTTTCCGCCCGCGGCTTCACCCGCGTGGAATTTTGTCTGTCACAGAAAAACTATATCGCGCGCGTCCCTGTTTCAAAAACCGGGATAAAAACTATCCTATGTTCTTTCCCGGGACTCAAACTATCTCTATGCCAAATTTCATCAAAATCGGTTGCGAGGTTTAAGCGGGAAAGCGTAACAGACAGACAGACAGACAGACAGACAGAGTTACTTTCGCATTTGTAATATTATATATAGTTGGGATGACTCTTTTTGTTTTGTTAAAAAAATGTCTCTTGCATTGTATTGGAAAAGATTAGAAGAAATTCTATCGTGTGTTACGAAATACTCCTATTTTCTTCTGGTTTGTTTCTTTGCCAGTCATGAGTCAGTTAAATCCCTCAGAACTTATTTAGCCTTCATAGGCTTGGTTTTATTGATATTGGCTACGCAGAACAATAAATTGCGTTGATGGGAAGAATTGGGAATAAAAACTGTTACAAATTACTTGATCGTCATCGGATCATTTAGTCAGCAGGAACACCATCTCATGACCCTCTCCAATATATCAGAGGAAATAGAAGGATTTGACTTACACTCCCCATGCTATTACCTAGCCTGCTGACTAATATAGGCAGCTTTCTGTCGCCTCCTACGTCATTCACTTCCACGAAGCGACATCGACCTTGGGAAGAGATGAGTTGACCTATTCAGCTCTAAAATCTTTAAATTACTTGGTATTCTTGGTATTTTTTACTAATATTTCTTAACCCTTCCAGAGAAAGACCCGTACCCAGTGGAGACCCTGCCGACCTGCACCTATGCCCTGAGCGTCTGCCACAACGAGAAGGCCTGTTCCGTGCTCTTCGACCGGTTCAAGAATGCTTGCAAGGCTCGCGACGGAGAATGCCGTATGGATGACAGGTTAGATAGATACTCTTTATTGCACATCACACAAAACTAACAAAAAAAGAACTAAAGAAAAAGAAGAACAATAGACAATTTAAGTCTTTATATCCTGCTGAGAACCATGTCTTTAAAGAAAAAGAGGATTTTGGCAGGCTAAGTGGCTACATGTCGCATAAGAGGAACTCAAATCTTTTATCGACACACCTGACTATAATGATGATGTTGCTGCACTGGATGTTATTTAGGCTAGATTAGTAACATTGCACTGCCGTATTTATGTCCCAGTTTATGTCACACAGCGGACGTTGTTATGTGTGATGTGATGACTCAAATATATTGACAACCGCAAGTTTGTGTAGATATGTGTATCAGTTTCTGGAATATAGAAGCTCGGTAACTGAGTCGTGGCAACTAGATATCTAACTAAAGGGAACATGTGCAAAGAAAGCGCATCAATCACACTTATCTAAGTGTGTAATATATTCGCTCTATGTGAGAAATCATAAAACAGTAAGCATTATCTCCGCCAAAAAATCGTCATTTAATCCAAATAAGTCTTTCACAGCACATCAGTTACCCGTAATTACACTCCTGAGGATCAGTGTGTGTCTCATTATTAACTCAGTTAATCTGAACTTAGACCTTAAGTAATAAGCAAAGTTATTCCAAACTTCGGCCTTTCAAACCTAGAAAACTTGAAAAAAAATAAGCTCGAAAATTTTCAGCATATCTTTCTCATTAATTTTTCAGCCGATTAATACTGAATTTTATGAAGTGACTCGAAGTTTAGGTCTTATTTTTAATTACTTGTAATTTGTGATGTGACTGTTAAATGGATTAACAGTGTTAATCCTTTTTTTATACTCTGGACTGGGAAATTCTATTCTCGAGACTGAAAAATTGAAAAAATAATGTCTGTTAATGGTATTAATTTTCCTTATTCTGTATTGTGAGTGAGTGAGTAACTTCTTATAGCAAAGGTTTATTACGTTATTATTAGTTATGATTTTTGTTAAAAATATGAGAATTTACTTTAATAATTTTGTGTAACGTCGAGCTAGGAACAAGTCTTTGTGTCATATTTATAGCACATATTACTAATTAGTTAGGTACTGATATAGAGCTCACACAATGATACAAAATATCAAAAATTTTCATATCAAAATTCGAAAACTTCCAAATGGCCTTTCAAATTTAATAAAGCAGTTATTTTCGAGGCATCAGCCCAGTTGTGTAAAGGTCTATTTTAAACGGGAGGTCACCGTCCTCCGTTTATTCCGGTACGGAGGACAGGACAGGACAGGCTTAAATTTGGAGATTAGTATTGACCCGGACGGAACGCAACTGTAACTGTTTTAATGCAGGGCTGAAATTTTTACATACATTACAAACAGTATGCTTAAAGCTGTGGCTAGCGTAGATTTTATTTGAACAAGGTGTTTTAATACAATTATTTTATACAGGATGATTCTGTAATCAGTATCCATTTTTTTAATAAACTCTGTTTCTGAGTTGCTCCTAAAAATTTGGATACTGATAACAAAATCACCCTGTATGATCATACTTTAGGGGAGACCGAGGAGAGTTGTAACCGGTTGATAGTAACAAAGGCAATGTCTCTAAACCTTAGGCTGTTTATCCAGCTAGAAACTTCAAAAATTCGTTGCTCATTCAACACTCCACAGTTTGCGCGAAATTGTCAGCTACTGTCATAGGCGCAGAGAAATCGGCTCTGTGATAACTCACCTTTCTTACAACTATCCTCGGTTTTCCCGACATTAATTTCTCGCAGTTAACCATTTTCTTTACAATCAAATCGCAATATTTTATTTATTTCATCTAACATGTGCAAACGAGATTCACTCGAAAACATAAAAATTATCTTCTTCTCTCTTTGGCGAAGTAATGTTTATTACGTTTACCTGTAAAATGTTAAAAGTCAATCATCTATTCTAGAAGGTAAATATTTAGAACATAATCTACCATACCACTGTATAAATCAAATATTTTATTTACCTGTAAAACTGCGTGCAACTGAAAAGATGTCGCACGAAAATATCAAAATGCATTTCCCCAAAACGACAGCCAGTTTTAAAATTGTCAGCATTTTACACGACGTTATCTGGTGCGGAGGTGAAGCTTTCGATCCACTTTTTTTGTTGCTTGAATTGACATAACCTACCTCCATTAAATTTTACTGTTATTTATGTGACTAAAATTGCGTGATAATTTGGTCTGTCGAAAGAAAAATCAACCCAAGATGGAAGAAGATTTCCAACTATTGCCCAGTCTAAAAACCTTTTCAGTCAACTGTACTTATCCCGCTATGGAACTGAAGAGAAGTGGATATATGTATTTTAAACTCCTTTTATATTCTTCTGCTTAATTCTTAGCTGGTTCCAAGACAGCAAGCTATCTCAAGTATTAGTTAGGTTAAATTTGTTCAAACACAAATCTCCTCCCCGCTTTGGTTGAAACGGGGACATTTAACCAGTGTGTCAAAAAAAACCGGTTTCAAACCGGTTTCAAACTGGTCGCGTCATGTGTGGTCTCTCAACGGAACCTATGGCAGAAACTTAGATGCAACTCAAAAGTAACTAGAAGTTGCAGTTTCGTTGCAATTGCGTTTCACCGTGTGCTCTGGGCCTAATCATTCAATCAGTTGCTAACCCTCCACTTCCTCCAGGCCTTGATCAAGTTTTTAACACTCCATTTACCTCCAGGGAAGCGTGCCGCGAAGCCTGGGCTGGTCTCCGGCTCTCGCCACTCTTCGGTTGCATCTGTCCCAACACCCACATGAAGAAGCGATGCGACAGGATCTTCGCGGTGGTCAACCATAACCCCTGCGTTGGTAAGTAAGCACCGTGCTAGCAAGATGGACTGGTTCTGAGTGAGAATTTTTGAGGGTTAAAATCTGAAAGGGTCATATGACATAATTATTTAGATAGATTGCCCACTTTGAAAAAAGACTCGAAGTTTGCCTTGTAAGAAATTGTAGATGGTACGAATACCATTAAATATTTAAGAAGTTTTATACAAAAAGCCTAGCTTAATTGACTCATAAACATTGATAGAGTTAATTTAATAGATAAAATGTGCGGAATTGAAATTACTAACCTAGAGCTCATACCACTAGGAATTATTACAAAAGAGACTGTTTCTTACGCTGCTTCTTCGTACATATCATCGTATCAAAGCCGTGATATCTTACGGTTCATACATTAAAAAATCGTCAGATAACCAGGTAGGAGTTAGGAAGGCAGTTTAGTACTCCAATTTTGAAGAAAACAGTTTTATGATAAAGTTTAGTCAGACCCTTTGGCAGAAATATATTTAGATTGCTTAAATCTATGGTATCAGGAAATACTTAAAAACTGATACTTTGATACCTGAAACGTTTTCACACTATATCTTTTTTTTTAACGAAGGCAATGCTTATAGATAAACAAATTAATTATACACAATATCACCGCGGAGCTGACATTAATTCTCCAAATTGATACTGAGTGCTTCGTAATTAATTTTCCAGGGAATTTTTTTCCCGATTCTCCCCGTCCTAAGAGAGAAAGTTGAGATGATCGTATTTAGTTTTTGAAAGTAATGTTTGTCACTTAGATCCCAAACTGTTCTGAAAGTAACATAAAATTATTTTTATAGGAGTGTGGAAAAATATTTTTTTTAACTTTAACTGCCGTCGAAATCAATGAAAAAACTTTTTTTTCGTATCATTATCTCCACTATAGGAGCAAGACCATCCCTAATTTACCAGAGGCAAATGGAGACTTGATGCACCTTGATGTTCGAATATTTATCCTTTAGGGTGGATTCGACCAAACAAGAGTAAATATTCATCTCAGAATAAATCGTCAGTTATTCAACATTTTGACATATTTCCCATACTGAAACTGTCAATGTGCTAGTTATACCAGGAGTTATTCTCGGATAAAAGTTTGGTCGAATATTTATTTATTTTAGATACAGTTAATAGATTTATCTAGGTACCTACAGTTACAGTACAAAAACAATAATATGTGAACGGCTTTCTTTTGAAAACACAAAGTATTTCTAACTACGAGTATAATCCATGATAAAGATCAACAAACGACATCTTATCTAACTCCAAACTCCAAAAAGCATTTATCTAATTCCAATAATAAGCCATCTTGAGAGACCTCTTCAATAAGCCGAGCCAAGCAAACATATAGGATTTCTTATATAATAACCCTTCAGCAAACTATTTTCATTAGACCAATATACCGAATCGCAGAGCCCTCCGTAAGCACTCAGACCTAATATAATGGACTTGGGTAGGGTGACCCTGATTTGGGACGTCGTAGGAGTCGTAGGACAACAATCAGTCGCGAATTCCTTGAAAAAACGCTGTTCACGCATGATTTCTTTTTCCAGCTGAAGGAATGAAATTATAACGATTTTTTTTTATGCTAGGCAAGGCAGGTATTTGACCGCAATCGCACCTTACCATATAAATTACCATAACTTGGACATTTTGAGTCAAGTCGTAATTTACAAAATTGTCTGTATCGTGCGATAATCGAACCCGCAACCCATAGTGTAGAAGCTGAGATCTTAGGCACTGTGACACGTTGTTTCTTACATGGCTAATACTGCGAACCAAAGTAATAAATATGTTAATATCGTCATCCTACAATATCTGTCCTAGTGTTATTAAAGTTTTATCAGAGAGAGTTCGCTCGAAATATCCCACAATCCCGTTTAAAACACAACACATTGCCACCCTACTGGTAACGAAGTATCCCGAAAGCAATGGAGCCCATAACTTCGGATTCAATATAGTGTATTTGATTCATTTCTTATAATCTCCGCGATTTCTTATTGCGAATCCCGAGTCCCGGAAATCCCGCGTTAAATCCCGGATGCGGGAATGCCGGGATGGTAATCCCGCGCTCATCCTGCGACCGCGTCAACTTTCAATCTTTTGTAAGCCCTTTTAATTCTATGAATCGTTAGCAAGTTTTTTTGTTGATGGTACCATGGCTGGTTAACAGGAAATTTACAACAAAGTATAAATACGAATGAAAATTGAAACGAATAGCTACGATTATCTAGTAAGTGAGAATAGAAATATTTTGGTCTTGTAAAATTGCCCTTAAAGGGCTAAAGAATTAAAGAAAAAAAACTTAGAATTTATATAAGAATAACTAGAAATCAAAATCAAAAAATCAAAATCAAAAATATTTATTTAGTTTATTAGACCACAAGTGGCACTTATGAAAAAAAGGAAAGGTAGCCCTTATGGGGCACTATACATGTCTCCTTATCAAATATATGAAAACGTGGTTTCCCTAAACAAGTTAAATAAAAAAGTACAGTACAGTTCGTATATCAACATTAATGACTAAAATATACGTAAAAGATTTAAATTCTTCAACGAAAATGCAAAAAATTTGAAACGTACAAAATTTTACCTCATCCATCTTGAAAATGCGACAAGCGACTTGCTTCGCAGGAAAAACTGTGACGTTTGAATTCACCAGATTCGTCTGGTGTGGTCTAGGCCACGAGAGGTTAACGAAAAAGTATTTTTAAACTTAAGTATTTTCAGAGTTACTCAAAAACGAGCCTCCGTAAAAAAAATATTTCTTCAGTTCTGAACTTCTGATACTTAACATTACTTAACGCCCGTATTTCAGTGCGCGTGGGCGTCACGTGTGACTCTGAGATAGATAGATAGACAGATAAATCATTTATTTGCATACACTTAACACACATGAAGAGTAAAGTTGCAGCATAACAATAATAAGAAAAGAATAGAATACAGCAGAATACTATATCGATACCTCTGGGCTCAAAGGTCGCAAAGGACAAAGTACGACTTTTCAGGAGAAGCAAAAAACGTTTTTTTATTTTTTTATTCGACGATATTTTTTTTGTTTTTTGTGCTATTAAATTATGACTTATGAAGAAAATACTTAGAATTCACAGCATTTTCCGAAAAGGTATTGAAAAACTGGACTAGAGCTGTATTTACTGAGATAAGCGTAAGCGATAAGCTCTGAGCGTACAGAGTCACACATGGACCAATCACAGAGCCTTATCAACGCTATGCGTTCGCTTTGCTGCTTGACTTAAGCAAGTATCATTTGTGAATACGGGTGTAAATCTGCAATTATTTTATTTATCAGAACGTGACGAACCATTTATTAGCTAAAATGGTTCTGTTATTTCACCATTTTAGCTTTTAAAACTTTTTCTAATCATAAACTAAATACGAAAAATTTAAATAAAATACGTGAAATTCATTAATTTAAATATTGAAGAAACGCACTCGCAGGTACACAAGGTGGCGCCAAATTAATTTTATTTTTAAATAACTTTTTATTAAAATAAAAATTGGCCAAGTGCGTGTCGTGACACGCTCAGTGTAGAGTTCCGTAGTAGTCCGTCGTTACCACAATATATTTCAGAAGTAAGCAATTACATCATCTAAAGTCACTTTTAATATTTTCTTCTAAGGAATTTTTATTAGGTATGAAATTTTATAGTACATGAGTATGAGTGAAACGACTATTACTCTTGAACTAACTGATCTTAACCGCTATAGTTTTCTCTAGGAAGCATTTTATTAGGAGCATTTTTTTTTTGTTTTACCTAATATGTTGATGTACTTTTCGCTAATTCTCCAACTTTAGACCACACCTCAGAGTTGGGATTGTAACGAGAAGCGACGGATTAGGGATTAGCAGAATTCAACAAACAAATATAAATAGAAAACGTAACTCAAATCTCCCATCGTTCTGGAAATACGAGTTATTTGCCAAATTAAAAGTCCTACTCATTTATTAATACAACCTCCCTTTGAAGCTAGGATTAGAAACGGAGTATTAATAGCGGGGAATTTAATAATTAGTCTATGATTATTCTTGTATACTAAAATCATGAAGTTCGGGGTGGTCCAGAATACAGAGTAATTAGATTTTACAGATTAATTTATTAGGCTAATACATTAAAACTTATGTCTATAGGTATGTTAGAAGAATTACTTAATATTAGAGATGAAACGGATATCCGGCAACTATCCGGTATGNCTTCTGGGACACCCTGTAGTAAATAATATCTGTTAATGTCGAAATATTGCCAAATAAAAAAGGCGATCTTTTTTTCACTGATGGTTTGATGACATGATGCATGCAGTTCAGTCAGATTACGCAGCAAGTAAACTAATTTAATTTTCGCTATCCAATCACACACTCACGATAGCAACCGAAATCGCTCGAATTGATCTGCCCCCTAGACAAGTGGCAAAATCTGACATTCTATTCGGACAGATTCGATTTTCGAAAAGTGTGACTAGTCTAGTCTACTGATCGCGTTCGAAGCACCTGTGCGGCGCTAAACTCGTCACGACATGAAACGAGACAATGTGCCAACTATCCGGCCGCCGGATATCCGGCTATCCGGCCTAGCAGCTGGCCGGATATCCGGTATCCGGTATCCGGCCAAACAACTATCCGTTTCATCTCTACTTAATATTATCAATCTCATTGAAAAAGCAGAAAAAAAATTAATATTTAATCAGCTTTTCATCAAAATAATGATGAATAATTTTATTTTATTTCTATTTTACCATAATATGGTACCGTTGGCACCCTTTATCTATGTTCTTCTGATTAATTTCGTTGCGGGTCCAATGACAGTTTAACTTTCCCCCGGGACCAACTTGACCTTCATTGGTTGGGTTTTTGTGACGGTCGAGCTGTAGATCCTGGATACACAGGAGTTGCAGCGGTGGGAACGAGAGGTGGGAATAGTCCCGTTAACTAGACTAGCAAAGGAACTAGTAAGAAATATATGTTGTTACTTTTAGAATGC